GGCTATCCTCTTTCTCTTCTGTGTTCTCCTTCGTCTCGGAATTAGCCGCGCTTTGTTCTGGCTTAATATATACGAACTACTACGTTATGCCCCCCTCGAAGGGGCAACAAGAAATGTGATAAATCGAACCACATCATAAAAGAATATATTTTTTCTCTCGCTTGAATACAATCTCATTTTTATAAGCCGATTTATGCGACCGCACGTGTCACGCAATGTTTAAAAAAGTCGCTCTCTTCCAGTAATTCGATCAGTTTAGATCAGTAAAATCTCAATCATATTGAATAACACAATATTTAATCGGTAAATATTTGATGTGGCTAATTATAACACGTTTTAAATACATATTCAATACATATATTTATTGTTACAATTTTAATTTTTATGTAAATTGATTATATAATATAATTGAGAGACAATTTATTATTGAGGTTGATAATATTTTTCGTAAGGAACGCTATTTATCACAGAAATTTGTAGTTTTGCTAACTTTACATTTAAATGTGATTTCTATAAACCGAAGTAGTTAGAGTCTCTAGATCGTAAAATATAATTTATGGCGGTGCGTTATTGCGGGACAATGACTGATTAAGAGAGGATCGTTACGCGAAAATCTGTACCCATGGTTTCTTATGGAACGTTCTCGAGATGCGTGTTTACTTGGGAACACTTGTTGAGCACTGAGCTAAGATTGTCCGAGCTAAGAAGCCACTTGTTGCTTCGTCCTTCCTAGGAAGGAAACCTGGGTCCCGTATCAGGATACTTAACACTGATAACCGCAGAAATCCTACGAAACTTCAGCAAACCATCGGGATTTATATATTACAAGCAAAATGCTCTTCATATGCTGCTTTATGTCATTAAAATAAGCCAAAATTTTAAAAAGTGTATTACAAATTATTCTTTGATATATGATATATTTAAATGGAAATTTCTCTCGGTGTAACTTTTAAAGAAAGTCTCTCTTATAATAAATTTATCTCTCTTTTCCCTTCTTGTCATGATCGAAATATTCTATTATTACTTTGACGATTTTACAAAGGGGGCGTCTCCGAAACAGGGGCCACATGTTGCTAGCTTGCCTTTAGATACAACCTCTATCGTGCACTCGTGCACGATAGAGGTTTTAATCGAATATGAAGCTAGTTATCAAATGCTAACTTTAGATATGGAAATACGACTTTGCTCTCAAGGGGCGACAATGCGCGACAGAGATACGTTTGACGCATGGCACGCGGAACACATGTTTGTTGTAAGAGAGTTAGATTTGTATAAACTTTATAGAGAGAGAGAGAGAGAGAAAGAGAGAGAGAGAGAGAGACATATTTATTCATTCCTATCGAGTCGTATATTTCAGATTCTTAGTCTGTAAAAACATAACATTTTTTTTTATTTATTATATCATATTTATCATATTTTTACTAATTAGCATTTTACTTTGCGGTTTATCGAAATTTCACGGCGTTTAAGAAAAAAAGAATTAAAATTTAGAATTTTTATATTTTCTATTTTTGTTGGCGCAAAAAATATGTTTATTTATATATCGAGATTGCTATTTGTTTACCTTGTATTGGACATATACGGAAGAGAGAGACAATTGCAACATAATCTGTATCGATTTGGTACTAACGCGAATTAATAAATTTCCAGAGAGTTAACACGTTGAATAGGAAACTTAAAAAAAACATAGGCTCGCCCTGAATCTTTTGCGATGATTAGATTCTGCCACGTGTCTATTGTACCATCCATCAATGCGACGCCCCTTTTTTGGATGCACACGCATGGCACGCATGCCTTAATCACGCATAGAACGTAAGACGAGAACCTAAAAACTAATCTCATGGAGGATACTTTGCTCGACTAAACCTAGTCTTTATAAGCTTTTATTGCGGCGTAAAATCGATAAAACAATTTAATAGCTGCATTATCATTTTCAGAAAAAAAACAAAATATAATTATTAGAAAAAGTGCAGTATTACTTATTGTTAGAGTACACTTTTAAATTATTCGCTATCTCTAAAGCTACTTGAAAACTTGAAAATTATTGAAATGCGTTTACATTAAATAATAAATAATAAAACATAAAAATGTGCAAAAATTAACTTGATAAATTGTTTTTAAATTCAAAATGCCAAATAACTGATAGTCAATGATTATATTATTTTATATTTTACAAATGAGTATTTTAGATAATTTTTCGTACAACACAAGCGGAACACAAAATACGACATGCACAATGAATGACGCGTATAATATATAATCCATATCCAGAAATATCATGTCAATGCTCGAACAAGCGTATCGAGGCTAAATTGTCAAAGCTGGCTCTACCTAACGAGCGCGTACGCTTTACGCGATCGCAGAGCGCGCGCGTAACAGGAAACTAATTATAAATCTGTTTCCAACAACGCGCCGTGCGTTATAACTGCGCGCAGCGCGTTGATACATCGGCGTGCGTACTCCTCTTGTGTGCGACACATTAGAAACTATTTTTAAGTCTATTACGCACACACAAAACGCCGTATACGCCGATGATGCGCGATGACGGAAAAGAGTTTAACGCGGGCACGCAAGAGCG